CACACGAATCCACCGCGTGCATCAAACGCTCATAAATGAAACTGTTTAAATATGACGAGGAGAACTCCTTGCAGATGACATGCAAACGAAAAGAACTTGCCAAATTATTCCGTCATAGGACTAACCGTCGAATGTCTTCGATTACAGAACTGATTGATGAGGAGGTTCGCCACCTTAACCACCAACCTGTTACCTGAAGCGTTTAGCTCACTTTTCGTTGCATCCATAAACCTAGAAAACGACCCTATACCTTTCGGCCCAGAACTTACAACAAGCAGCATAGATAATGTCGAGATTTCTCTTCCGACCATGCAACAGGCTATGAATGCCATCAAACCATCGCTCAAATCAGACACCGATGCCATCCCACCGTCAACTAGTAAACTCAGTGGACCTGACATACCACTGCTTTTGATGTACATGTTCACCCTGTGCTTCGAAGTTAGCCAATTTCCGGATCAGTGGAAAACATCGTTTATTGTCCCTCGTCATAAGGTGGGCACAAACAGCACGTCACTAATTATCGATCTATCCATCACACTCCCGTCATCGCTAGATTAATCGAAAAATTAAGTAAAAGTGAACTCTTGAACTTTATCCATCGTCATGGGCTACTTAACAAATCCCCAGCATGGGTTCCTCGACAGACGTTCCTGTACAACGTGACAGTTGCACTAGCTGGAGTACATCGCAGAAGCCATCGATTCGAAATATGCAGATGTAATGCTGTTCCTGGATATGCAGAAAGCATTCGACAGAGTGCCCCACAAGTGGCTACTGGAAAGAATCGAGTCCTTTGGAATCAGAGACCCACTATTCGGTTGGTTGACATCATACCTAAATGCGCGTTACCAGATAGTCATTCTGGGTAATCGTAACTCCTCCGCACATCCAATCATTAGTGGTGTCATCCAAGGGAGTGTACTTGGTCCTTCCGTTTTTTAACTTTATATTAACGATATCGCGGTGTGCATAAAACATGGCAGGTCATTTTTGTTCGCCCATGACATAAAGATTGTTTAAAACTTCGATGAGACCAACTCTACAGTGCAATGCGGTTCGTTCAAGAAGACCTCTATTCACTTGAGAAATGGTGCAACCCATGGATGTTAAATTTCACAGTTAGTAAATCAGGCATTATGTCATGCGGATGGTTAATCTATAAAGAGTCTGTTAAACTGAGAAATGAACGTATCTGTTTGGAACTATCCAACTCTGGTCTAGGTATATGATACCCTTCAAACTTTAATTTTGCAGAGCAAGCTGAGTATCAAGTTGCACTTGTTAAATGATCTGTGGCTATACAACCCCTGCCAGACTCGAGCTTTCCAAAATACTTACACTTTCTGTCCTTGAATACTGCAGCAACACCTATGGGAACATGCGTATGAGCGACACGAAAGCTTTGGATAACCTGCAAAGCTCCTTTACTAAGCGCTTGTTCAGTAA